AATGAGAAGAGGGAAAAAAAACAGAATCATCCTGACAAGTTTGGAATATAATCTCAAATTCCAGAAATCACACAAAACAAGATTTAAAAACTAAAGTCAAGGACATTCCCTTAAAGCACCATTTTTGTGATTGCTCTTAACTGATGCTTATTTATTTTATAAGAAAAAAAAACCCAACCCAGAAATTTACATTTTTCTACCTTTTAAGCTGAAGTTTGTTTCAGGTATACCCTAACCAAATAGAATTAAAATGTTTTTCTACTAACCTGACAGACAAACTTGACATCTGGTGAATTTCTGTTAAAGGGTTTTGGAAAAATATAGAAATTAAATGACTTCATTATATACCTGTAGAAAAGATGAGTTACATGTCAATACAGCTTGTCAGTACTTAGAAAATCCTCAATTAAGAAAACAAGAAATAAGAGAATAACATACTTTTCTTCTGTGTCATCATATTTAAAAGTGCAAAGGCCAAACTGAAAGAGCAAAAAATCCATGGAATGCTGTAAAATGAAAGAAAAATTTTGCATGAGAATAAAACATGTACACATTTAAACATTACCAGGGTGCATCCAAATATGATTTCTCTCCATTTCAAAATAAAGTGAATCTTCTTAACTAATGTTTGTTTTGCTGGTAATTTGAAAGTAGATACACCAGAATTTTTCTGCTAGTTTTCATCCCCATTTAATCATCTTACTATTGGCTCAAGATAACTTTAGGATGCAGTTCCATTCCACAAAGAGACAAGAACTGAGGGAAGTTCCATCTCTCTTTCCTCCTGTTGGTCACACAAACAAGATGCTGCACCAGCAGCAGCTTCAGTTTCCATTTTAGTCCATGTAAAGACTTTACCTTTTTAAGTTTCTGATACCTTTCTTCTGGAGTGTCAAAGCCATTTGTTAATGTACTAACTGAAGGCCCATCACTGATCCCTGAAAAAGCAGAACATATTTTGCTTTGGGTAAGCTTTTCAAAATTAACTACAGCAAAGAAATGCAACAACTGGCAATTGGTTTCAGTTAAACCGTGTATTACAATTATTTAATTTGAGAAAAATACTACTGCAATAAGCCACTAATTTTAATAGGGGTACTCTAGAATTAAAACTCTTCTGCAAAAGCTCTGTATTCTGGCTCCTATTCAATATGCCAGTAGCAGCCAAGACCTGCCAGTACCCTAATGTAAATGGGCTTCACAACACAATGCAGGATCAAAGCCAAACTAAAAATGGGAAGAGTGTTACCCAGAGATTTATTGAATAACTTAGTCACCTTAAGCACTATGCAACAACTGTACTTCCACAACCACCACATGTAACATGACCTAGTCTCATCAATGAGCAGAACTCTGCATCCCAAAAGCGAAGTACCGACTGAAGCATCTCTCTGCTGCACATACCCTCAGGGTTTCACAAGCACGCACGTTCTTAGCGCTGCCTTTCCGTGTCCAGACACTTGCAGGATCTCCCTCACTTATCCCAATGTGTGCTTTCATGGCACACATAAAACCTTCTGGGGTTTTTACCTTGAGCTGCAACAACTATCAGTTGTCATGTTGAAAGATTTCTGTGGGAGTACAAGTAGGACATGTATCTGACCAAAGCCTTGCTACCGCACGTGTAACAGGTGGTTTAATCACTTTGTGGTAGCTCAGCTTTAGCTTTTTCAAGCCAACTGAGACACACCACAGGAGCGAACTCGGGCACCGGGGTGAAACCACCTCCCCTCAGAGACTGCCAACAGTCCACAATGACAAAACAGGTGCAACTGTACCTGAAAACTCTCCATCGATGGCCAGGAAGTCCGACTCTTCAATGGCTTCGTACACTTTGTTTAGGTTATCCTTAAAATCTGCGGGTAAAGGGTTAAAACACACTTGAGACTACAAACGACGTCCTCCGGCAGCCCGGCGCCCCTCAGGGCCTGC